AGGACGAGCTGGATGCCGAGTTCGAGGAGCTACAGCAGGCGGAGCTGGACAAGCAGATGCTGCGGGGTGGACAGGTGCCGGTTTCAGACCAGGTACAACGATTGCCGAACGTCGGCACGGGGGAGCGTGAGTCTTTCATCAATGCTGAGAACATGGAGATCCGGCGTACTGACAACTTCACAGTCAAGGGGAAGGCGCAACGGGTGGAAGAGGACGACGAGGAAGAAGAGCTGCGGAAACTCCAAGCCGAGATGGCTATGTGATGAGCGTGAGAGTGCTCTTGGGATAGGGTCTGGCGTTTGCGGAGTCTACAGTGAGCCAATCATCCCATGGTGAACCTGGATTCGAGCGCGTTGTTACGGCGTGTGGTCTTCTGAATACCTACTTTACTGCATATATCAGGCGCACAATCCAGCGCAACGAGATTCCATATTGAAGAGATTATTGAAGAGATTATTGAACACGAGCAGTTCCGCAGTCAGTCCCCAGGCTGCCATGACCCGGTATTCACTTTAAGATTACGACGAGCTCAAACACAATTCCTTATTTCCCGTGACCGAGATGCCATTCAAGACATGACGGTAAGTAGCATTCCTGTGAACATTGGTGCCGCTTGTCAGTTCGCTCGCCATCTTGGCATCTCCACGCGACGGCACGACGACCGTGCCACCGATATTCATTCAGGTAGGTAGTCAACGTCGCATTGCATGGAATCAAAAGCCGGGAAAGAAGAACCTATTGTGTTCCAAGATTGTCTTCTCGAGGGTAGGTAGAGGGGGGCTTACCCAAACACTAACCCTAAGGTACCCACCCAGTCCACCACAATCTCCCGCCAGGCAGGCCGACGGATCAGTCGGTACCACACCACCCAAGAAATGCATAGAAGAAGCTGCACGACAACAACAGACAAAGATCACAATAACGAAATTCATCATCAAAAACCACACCCCCAAAAACACACTACGCCCCACCTTACGCAACATAACTATACACGCCCCCCTCTTCGCGCTCCATATAATCCTTCTCAATCAACCTCTCAATATTCCTCTTAATATCCGCCACCGCCAACACACCCCGGCTCATGGTCGCCTTAATCGTCTCACTAACCAACTCCTGATGCCCAATCGTCTTGCGGCTCTTGAGCACGCGCACAATAGCCGCCTGGCACTCGAAATTGCGGTCCTCCGCGACACGAATATGCGTCTCCTTGTTCTCCTCCTTCGTCTCCTTCAGCTGCACCTGGTTGATCTTGACGCGGTATTTGGGGTGGTCGAAGGCGGCGTTGACGGTGAAGGAGTCCGTGGGCGCGATGTCGCGGGACTTGGGGTGTTTGGTGAGCGGGCGGAGTTTGGCGCACGCGAGGGATTGGAGCGTGCGGTTGACTTCTGCTTCGGCTGGCGATGGTGTTAGTGGTGTGTCTTTTACATTGCAGTCGGCCTCACTTACGAAGACCGGTCTCGCTGAGGATGTGTGAGTAGGGAATATGCTCGTCTGCGCCTCTCCCGTTGAATAGAAGCAGCACTACAGCTTGGAAACTCGACACGACCAACTCCTTTGCTCCTTTCGGGAATACTGCCCTCATTTGACAGTGCGCCAAGGCGTGCTTCCAATCCAGCTTCCTACCGCTATGCTTCGACTTGTAGTGCATCTCAAAGTCGTCAATCGCCTTCTTGATGTTGGCAGGGATCACGACTGGCACATCTGGGTAGGTAGGCCAGGCCGCAGCAGATAGAATGTTGACCGACAGGTCCACCGACTTGCCCTTTTCGTATCCAAGACGGTCCTCCAGACGTTGCTTGTAGGATTGCATCTCTTCACGAGCCAGCTCAACATCCTTGAACATCTGCTCCAAGTTTTGGGTGAATCCACTTCCGCACTCAGTCTTCAGTCGCGCAAGCATACTTCTCTCGGCGTCGGCGGAGGCTGATCGTCCCATCAACAGACGGCGAGCGAGATCCTTCTTGTAGAAAGCTTCAAAGACTGCTTTGCCATGGACGAAACGGAAGAGATCCAGTACCTGGTCGAGCTGATTGTTGACCTCTGCATCCTCATCTACCTCGTCGTCGTCGTCGTTCTCAACAGCGTCCTCGGCTGTTGGCAACGAAACACCTGGCGGAAGTCCCGTAATGCTTGATGACCGTCTGGCGGTAAGGACGTCCGGAATAGCTTTCGCACCCCCACGAAGAAGTTCATCGACGTACTTGGCGATCATCTCACCGACCTTGGTGTTGTCGGTACCCCAAGTGGCATCGCCCTTCTTCGTCTTGTTCATGAAAGTTTCGAAGCTTTCTCGCAGACCATGGCCAAGGCTCTCGTCGCGCTGGAAAGCGGATCGCCAGGTCAGATCCAGCCGCCTCTTCAAGGACAGTAGGTGGACAATCATGTTCTCTTCGTCGTTAGAGAAGACGATAGCTGTGCCCGTCTCGTCAACCCACTTGTCGAATGCGGGTCGCAGGTGAGAACCTAGTCTTCGTCTGTTCAGGAGAGAATAAAGTGCGGTCAAGTCGGAAAGGGCGCCGTCGTCGAGTAGCTTGGCAAGGGCCTCATACTCGGTCAGATCAGTCTCCTTCTTGACAACCAGAATGTCCTCCAGCAGATCCAGCAGATCTCGCCGTGTGCTTGCGTCGAGGGCAAAGTCATCGCACCTCGCCATCTCCTTCGCAATGAAGTCTTCTGCGGCCTTGACGTATTCTGGAACGCTCTTGTCCACGATCAGCTCGTCTGACCACGCCGTCACGTATCGCTGGGTGGTGAACAGGAACGGCGGCTCGAAGGCTGAGGAATATACTTGTAGCTCATGGAACATATCAACCGCTTGCTGGAAGAGAGCCGAGTTCAGCTGCTGCTTGCCTGTCCGGTCTGCTGCCACGAGCTCGCACGCTCCGTCGATAACGTTTGACTTGAGGTTATCATGGTTGAAGACGATGTCTCGGAAGAGTTGAGGGGTGAGCTCGGCCAAGGTAGGCTTGCTCGATGAGAGCAAGTAGGATCGATCGAGGAAGAAGAAGATGGCACGGATTGTCACCATCTGTTCCTTCCACCGCGCCCACTCGGCCAAGACGGCCTTCAGTACGTCGACGTGATCCGAGTCAGTCTTCTCCAACAAGCGATCCCGTACATCATGCTCGACGTGCTGTCGACACCTCCCCTCCAGCCGCGAGAACAAGGTCGATGCGCCGCCTTGTCTGCACACATTCTCCACGCCCCGGTACAGCTCTTCTTTGCTGAATGCATCGCTGCCGTCTTTGAAGATGAGCGCCAGAGCAGCATCCAGCTGACCCCACACCTTCTCCAGATACGCCTTGCTGTCCCATTGCGTGGTGGTCTTGAGGTTCTTGACGACCAGCTTCTTGGCGCCGGCATGAGGGTTGAGCCGGCCGGTGGGTCGTTGGGGTTGCGGGGCAGCGGGCGCGGATGGATGGGTCAGGTCGATGACGGCGGGCTGCGCGGGCGACTTGGAGCTGAAGCTGTACATGTCGCTGCTGTGGAGGCAACGAGGGGGCGTGGACGGGCGGGGGAGGCTGTTCGGTCTGAATTTCTTGGTGGAAAAGACCGACTGGACTGTCTGCTGCTGGGCTGGGTCTGCTGCCGCGGTTTGGCTGGATCGCTTTCTTTTGCGGGAGTCGGTGTGGGACTGCGTGCTCGCCGTGCGCGACGGCGGCGTCATGTGACTGTCGATTCTCAAGACTGTGACCTGAAGTGTCTGGACGGACTGTGATCAACCGTCACCCAGCACATCACGCATACGGGGATCTCGAATGCTATCGGCGGTGACGTTAACTCCGAGCAGGCTTGCAGGTTTGCTCCAAAAATCGTGGTGCAACATGAGCTCGATCAATCAATCAATCAATCAATCAATCAATCAATCAATCAATCAATCAATGTTCATCTACAGTATAATGTCATCACCACTTGACGTGAATAGCATTCTGTTGCACGCGTCAACCACATTTGCTACAACCCGTAATATCTCCCATTACCGCCCATTCGCTCCAGCGCGTCTGCTCGCATCGATCCGCTTCACCTTGAGGCTCCCCAGCTCCCCAGCTCCCAGCTCCCCAGCTTCCGGACAAGCTTCCAAATAACCACGTCTATGTACCTCCTACATCTTTCCATCATAACATCTCGTTTCTCTACTTCACCACCTCCCACTGGAACCAGCAATAATTCCTACAGCTTGGTGGCTAGACAGTCTGACCGCCATATCAACTCTCCTTCCTCCACACCTTCCTGCATCCTGTTCACCCTAGTCCCTCTAGCATCGACTTTCCAGGGTCAACCCAAGCAGCTTACGTCAGCCCGCTTCCAACCACACCATCAACTAAACGCCGCCTTACCGCCGCCGCCTCCGTCTCATCCTCGGCTCTTGGCATCGCTAGCAACATATTCACGCTTCTCGCTTCCATCATAATTCGCCGGGGTAGCTCAATCGGTAGAGCGTGTGGCTCTTAGCTCACTAGGAGAAATGAAACCTCAAGGTCGCGGGTTCGAGGTATATATCATTGCAAGTCCTCGAGTCTCATGATACATGCTAACTGTGCAATCAGCCCCGCCTTCGGCTATTCCTGTCCTGCTTCTGAGAAGCATTCAAAGGCATAATCAAGGCTCACTGCAACCGTTACTTTTTCTTTTTGGCTTTTCGATTCAGGAAAAGTTCGACCATCGAAACCTCAGCGCTCTTTCTCGTCTCTGCTTCGGACTGACACGCTCCTCCGCTCCTCCACGTCGTCCATAGGGTAACTCCATATTCCTTTTGTCCTGCAAGAGGTCTGCCCGACCTCCACACCGCTCGTCTCGATTCTTTCCCATCCGCCAGCTTCTCGGTGCTTGCGGCTGGACTGGCGAATCCAGACGCGCTGACACCATCAATTAGCGCCCTCCTGTTCGGGCTCATTATTCGGCCTACTATCATATTCTGGATCTTATACTAACTTTTCAACTAAGCTCTCACCACACACCAACCCAGATATTGGCTGGACATCCCAGCCTTCCCCGGCTGTTCCCCGTTGGTCTAGTGGCTATGATTTCCGCTTGTCATCGCAAGATTGCAAAGCGCGGGAGACCAGTAAGTTAACTTTGCCATGATGAAGCTCTAGAATATCGTGCTCATTATTCCTAGGGGTTCGATTCCCTGACGAGGAGACTCCCTCTTGATGTCAATCAAGAACCTTGCAATTATAAACGTTCTTTTTGCAATTTTGAAGTTTGTCGGGTCAGCAAGCTGAATTGGCATCCGAAAATTTCCGCGCCTTCCCAAACGGGACATTCACTCCAAGGCGCCAATCTTCCTTTTGCCTTGCGCATCACGATGCATTAACAACCACACGCTGAAACTTTCTCGATGCACACAAAGTCATCTCCATACATACAATGACGAGACCAGGCGATCGCGTCCAAATCTGCACGCACGGACACGCAGCTTATACACAACCAGTTAATACGATTCACCAGGTAGTGCACGCATTCTCAGCATGGGCAACGCAGTCATCATCATGAGTCCAACAGATCTTGCCACAAACCTCATCCTACACTCACTACCTACAACACAAAATGCCCAGGACTAGGCGGCACGTCCCCGGTCTCCCACACCTTCGCCTCCCTCCCCAACTCAAAATGTATGCTCCCCCCCTCCACCATCACATCCCCATGCTCCAACCAATTCTTGCCCCACGCCTCACCATTCACAGCCACGGACTGCACATAATAACTCCCCGCCTCATCATCCAATCCGCTCGCCGTAATCCTCAACGTCTTGTCGCCGTTCACCGTCACGTTGATGTCCTCGAACCACGGCGACTCGATGAGGTACACCGGCTGCGTGACGACGGGGTAGAGCCCCAGCATCTGCCAGATGAGCCAGGAGTTTAGGGCACCGGCGTCCGAGTTGCCGGGCACGCCATAGTTCGCGTTGTGGAAGTATTGGTTCGCTAGAGCGCGGGACTGAGCGACAGATTTGTACTGTTTGTTGATGTAATTGTATTCGTACGGCGTGGCGAAATCCGGCTCATTACTATACCACTCATCAGTCCACACAGCAGTAATAAGGAGAAGAAGAAAACTCACCCAATATTCATAATCGTCGTAATCCCCGCCCCATTATCGCCCAAACTCTGCTCTGCGGTCCCGGGCTGGAAAATATAATCGAGCCGCCTCTCAAACTCCCCCGCGCCGCCCATAAAAGCAATCAACGTCTGCATGTCATGCGGCACATTGAAACTGTACTCGAACGGCGTCGCCTCGTAACTGATATCCGACCACTCGCAACCTCCGCACAACGCGGGATTGTAACCACTCAGGTTAAACTCACCACTCGGGAGTTTCGGGGCCAGGAAGCCGGTGAAGGATTTGTGCGACAGGTCGTGGGACCAGAGGTTTTGCCATTGCGCGGAGCGGCGGAGGTAGGTCGGGGCGTCGGTTGGGGCGAGGTCGGCGGCGAGCAGCGAGACGGAGTAGTCGTTGAGCGCGTACTCGACTGTGCGGGAGATGGAGCGCGTGTTGGCGGTGGAGATGTAGCCGAGAGATTTCCAGTCGTCGAGGGCGCCGCGGCCTTGGGCGATGCCGTTGGTGGGGTCGGTGGGCGAGAAGGAGTTGTAGGGGGTGACTTCGGCGTCTTTGAGCATGGCTTGGTAGGCTTGGGTCCAGTCGATGCCGGACAGGTTTTTGACGTAGGCGTCGGCGAGCACGTTGTCGGCGTTGCTGCCGCCTTGCACGAGGCCGTTGTAGTTCCCGCTGCGGCCGTCGGGCATGTAGCCGTCGTGTTTCCAGATGTCGATGAGGGAGCGGAGCATGGCGGTGTAGTAGGCGGGTTGCAGGAGGTGGTAGAGCGGGGTTGTGCAGCGGAAGATGTCCCAGAGTGTGTAGAAGTCGTCGAAGGAGGGCTCGCCGGAGTCCCAGAGGGGGTTTTCGCCCGTGCGGTCCGAGGGCATGAGGTGCGTGAAGTAGAGGCTGCTGTAGAGGAGGATGAGGTTTGATTGGTTTTGAGAAGGGTCCGTGGAAACGCGGATTTTGCTGAAGACGTCGCGGTTCCATTCGCTTTTGGCGGCTTGCACGGTATCGTCCAGATTCCAGGACGGGATCTCGTCGTTCTTGAAGGTGCAGGCTTTGGAGGCGGAGATGAAGCTGATGCCTACTCGAGACTTGATCGTGCTGCTTGACGATTCCGACCAGGTGAACAGCGCACCGACTCGGTTGTTCAGCGGTCCAGACGTCTCGCTTGTGTTCCCAAATGTTGGTTGTGGAATAGGCTCGTTCGACCAAGTATGCTCTCTCTGGACAGGATCAGTGAGGCGACCACTGAATGTCCTGGCCTGATCAGGTGCTTGGTCGAACTCGCCACAGAAATAGACCGTCGAAGGTGCACTCTCGCTGAAGCCACCACCAATAGATGTGTAGCCCGTGTAGGTCTTGCCATCCGGTTGCAGGTTGATCTCCCCTCCGGTATAGAACTGACAATTGCTGCCGCCTGTCTCTGAAGGCAGATAATGGGACACATCCACTAGTATATGGCGATCCCCAGCCGGGTACGAGTACTGGATGATCCCGCTGTGCCTGCTCGCGCTCAATTCAATCCCTACGCCGCTTTTCAATTTCGTGCAGTAGTACCCAACACTCGCCGTGTCAGTGCCGACCCTCTCCTGCCAGTACGTGGTATTGTCCAGCAGATTCACTCCATCCAGGCTGCCAGTCAATGGCATCTGCGGGACGATACCATACTTTGGCGCTCCTCCAGTCCCACTTTCGTGCATCATCGAGACTGCGGTCACGCGCCCAAGAGGCGTGTAGCCGCCATTGGTGGTGGAGAAAGTGATGTTGTCTTCCCACGTGTCAATGCCGAATTTGACGACCCCAAAAGGCAGGGCGCCGCCAACGAATATGTCTCCACCTCCGAAAGCAAGACCTGGAATTGGCCCTTCAGACCCAATGAGAGGGTTGACATAGCCCGTGTAATCTGTGTTCTGTGCTATTGCCAGAGTATTTACCAATAGTATAATGCCATAAAAGGTGATAAGTGCCATTTTGAAGGTGATGCAGATGAAGAGAGATGAGGTCGAAATAGCACCTACCTGACAAAGCTGCAATAATGTAGCTTGGTTGTGTTTCTTCACGTCGTAGCAGCATTCTGCGTTGTCTAACACGAGGTAACATTGAAATGTAAGCCGTGCATACCCTGACATCATGTTCCTGAGCTCCTCCGCATTCTGATCAATCTTGTGAGGGGTATATGGGCACATCCTTGAAGAACTGGCCCAACCTTGATAAGCCGTCTATCGGATGCAGATGAGGGACACTTTTCTGTCGGTACTACGTTCGATATGATAGCACAGTAATGTGACGGCTTTATGATTGCGCGGTCATCGGCACTGGTGACAAGCATTCAAACCTCATCCTGCGCCTAAGACATGCAGCATCAACAGTCAAGCGGTTGCCGTCGTTGTGTCGGCCTTGTCACCGCGCTGTTGCGAAGCTTGCGGGGTTATCGGACTTATCGCGAGCAGGATCGCCGAGGGTTTGCTGAACGAAGAGGACTGCGTTCAAGGGCGTTCGATGCTTTGGAAGTCGGCTAGTCTTCCAGGTTCTTCACAATCGGAGCTGGCGGCTATTGTCGAGGAAGGGAGCTGGCAGGCAGAGAGCTTTACGTTTAATGATAGGCGCCTCGGCGCTGGGCCAGAACCATATCGGTAGGGTGTAGCCAGTACGAGAGATGGGCAAAAGATCAAAATGGAGCATCGAATTACTCCACCCTTCTCTGCAACTTCGGCTCCCTTATCCGTCCTCTCATCCAGTCCGGCACAAAAGCCTTGATACCGACTTGGCCATCCTGTGACGTTTGAACCAGGAACCTATCATCAGGGCTAAAAGAGCTGCCTTCCCCAGATACAAGGAGATCGCTCATCTGCTCCAGTCGGCACATGCCCAGGCCGATATTGCCGATGCTCGCGATCAATTTACCCGTCGATCGTTGGCGCTTGTCGTCGCGACGGATGTCGGTGCCGTGCTCCAAAGCGCTTGCGTCGGTAACTGCGTCGGGACTGTAGAGCAGCTTCTCAGGTGGCTGAGAGGAGTGTGGATAGAGTGCAATGGGAAGGATTCGTCTTCGCACAACGCCGGTATGATGCGTGCGGATGGTGAGTTCCTGCCCGATGTAGCAACCTTTCTTGAAATCTATGCCGCCCATTATGTCGATGCTGTGATTCATCGGCAGCGCATCATCTCGAGGTATCTCGTGTTGGCCTTCTGGCACGCCGCGTAGATATCGCCGTATCGTATATGCACTTAATGGCGCCTCATCTGTCTTCAATTCTGCCGGAAGCCCAGAACCAGCACTCGCCTGTGGTAGAAGTAATCTTTGTCCCATACCAGGCGCTCTGCAGTCTGTCAGCCCTACTGTGCCATCCTCAGGCGAACCTTGGCTATGCGCCGTCCACCTGTCGTCTTCTCTCCACACGCTCCACACATCCAGCTCGCCCTCTTCGACCATTCGAAGCTTGAACTTGGATCGCAGCTTGTGCTTCTTGATATGCTTCAAGAGACTCTCCGCCTGATCCGCATCCACTTCTACCAGATAGCCATGAGTGTCATCCTTGTTGCTATCAGAATGCCATTGCGACCCGAGGGTTGGGTATATGAAGACATCATGCAGTACTTTTCCAGGAGCAGTCAAGAACGCAGCATACAAGCCTGATCTCGACTCTGCCCGCACATTGTTCGTGATGATGCCCTGGAGGAACTTGGGTGCCTCTTCGCCATGAAGTGAGATGAGTCGACGGTTGGTGAGCTTCGCTGCACCAGACGGTGGTGGTGACGGTGGTGGTGGTGGAGGCGGGCTGAGCGGTGCGCTGGAGTTCAGCCGTCGTGACTGTTGACGGAGCAAGCATTGAGCGCACACATAAGGTGCCGCTCGAGACTTTACACTCATTTCTCGGAAAGATGTATCGGTTTCTGGACTTCGACAACGACAATATCGAAGCATGACATATCGCAAAAGCACAGACCACAAGCTAGCGGTGCTATACATAATACATACGTGGAATTCTTCTGGAAAAGTCAAGATCACGACTGCTGACATGCAGACAGATCTGAGATCTCATGCCAGGAGCATCCCGGATGCGAATACCAACTGGTGTTATGCAGTGACCACTTGT